AGAGTGACAGACAGTAAAATCCAGACCCTTGCTCTCCCCCCCTCACCCAGGACCGCCTCTGGGATCCTCAGCCCTTGTTTTCCCCACTCAGAAGGGAAACCATCCCTGCTGATGCCTTTCACTGTCCAGCTCCTGCCTTCCCTCTGCGGCCTGGGAGGGGCCCGGGGAGGCTGGCGACGTCCGGGTGGCCTGAGGCTGTGGCGCTGGTAAGAACCTTAGCAAACCCGTCTCCGTGGGAGGAAACATTCCCCTCGAGCTGTTACCCCAGGCTGCACGGAGCCCCGTGTCCTCTGCTCTCTATATGAGACTCGGAGGCCCATTGCCAGAAATGAGAAGCACATTGGTCATTTTGCCATTTTATGCCAAAGCTCGGTGGTGTTCAGTGTGTGTGAGTGTGTGAGTGTGTGTGTGTGTGTACCTCATGCACAAGCACTATGCCGTGTGTTTTTTTCTAGTTATATACAAATCGAGACTTTTGGTTACTGGAGACGGAGGTAACTGAGTATGTTGACTGTTCTGTACAGCTCCTTTGTCCTGGGAGCAGAAAAAAATGTGAACTTATTCCGTGAGGGAGAAATCCATATGCCACACGGGGAAATTCCTCTCGCATTCATCAAACCAGGTGGGAGCCTGGCGGAAGGCTCGATCCAGGCGCCGTGGGCTTGAGGTTAATCTGCGCCCGGCTGAGTGGGGCCCGCTCTCCGCCCCGGGAAGCAGCTCCTGGCGGGCGATGTCATCATTCCTGAGCTTCAGGGGAAGGTGCTCAGGGGCTGAGCATTTCAAGCTCGTTTCTCAACTGCAGGGCCATGAATCAAGACATTTAAAAAAAGCGATTTTGCTATAATACTCTGCCAATCATAAGGCGTCAGAGGAGCAGCAGAGACTGTTTCTCAGCCCGTGGATGTCTCCACGCGTGGGGATGGCAGGAGGTGCGGAGGGAGAGGGGCTGGCTGTTGTGGCTTCATCTATCTCGATGGATTACAGCATTCAAGGAGGAACCTTTCCTCCATCTCTTTACACTTTGCAGGACACCAGAGCCGATCTGAAGACAGCTCAGCACTGGAGCAGCCCTTGTTCTACAAAACACTTTCACATGTACCATACTNTTAAGCGATTTTGCTGTAATACTCTGCCAATCATAAGGCGTCAGAGGAGCAGCAGAGACTGTTTCTCAGCCNGCGATTTTGCTATAATACTCTGCCAATCATAAGGCGTCAGAGGAGCAGCAGAGACTGTTTCTCAGCCCGTGGATGTCTCCACGCGTGGGGATGGCAGGAGGTGCGGAGGGAGAGGGGCTGGCTGTTGTGGCTTCATCTATCTCGATGGATTACAGCATTCAAGGAGGAACCTTTCCTCCATCTCTTTACACTTTGCAGGACACCAGAGCCGATCTGAAGACAGCTCAGCACTGGAGCAGCCCTTGTTCTACAAAACACTTTCACATGTACCATACTTTCCATTGCTCATTCTACATTCCTACAGATTAAGTGAGCGGGGCCTGTGACCCCCCTGTGGGGCTCGGGGACCTGGAGCCTGTAGGATGTACGTGGCCCACAGAGCCCTCCGGGTGCTCAGCAAGAGAAGACCAGGTCAGACAGCCCCAAGCTGAGCTCCCAGGCCCCCCAGGATCTCCCAGCCTCTCTGAGATGTGGGCTTCCACATCTGTGGCATGGGGCCAAGCCTTCTCCCCACTGGGTGTGGGGACATCGAGGCCCCGTGTGGAGCAGCTATGGTGCCTAGAAAGGAGCATGGGATCTAGGGCCGGGGGACCTCACTGTGAGTCCTGGCTCAGTCTCGAGGCCTTGGGCAAGTCGCGCGACCTCCTGGGCATTAGCTCCCATCAGTGAAGAGACGGTGATGAGAATCATCTTCCTTTGCTGGGTTTTGGGGAGGGTCAGAGGAGAGGATGGCTGTAGAAGTACTTTGTAAACTGTGAAGTGGGGAACAGAAGTCAAATTCACATGGAAAAGGGAGCTGGTTCTAGAAAAGGCACAGAGCACCATTCCCAGTGTCTGGGCTTCGCCCCAGCTGGGCCCCACCACCCCGACTGCCAGCAGGAGGAAGTGGGGGGGCGGGGAGGCGGGCGGAGGCTGAGGGCCTTCTCGGACCGGGCTCATCCCACAGGCAAGTGCAGGGACTCTGCTCTGGCCCAGGCTCCCGGCTCAGCCCGTCTGCTAGGAGGAAGGACATGGCTGCTTTGGCCACTGCTTTGGTCACACCCTGTAAAACAAGCAGCCAGTTACCAGAGGGGTGAACACGGTGGGAGCTCCCATTAGGCACCAAGGAGGCAGGACATCTCCTGTCACTCACTTTGACAACGGAGTGGCCTCTGAGTCGCCTGTTCAACAGCATCCAGAATACAGGGCCCAGTCTGTCCCGAACTGGCCTCCTGTAAACCAGCAGCCTCATTTCCCTAACACCCCTAGGGTGTGGGGTGCAGGGCTTGCTCTGCTGTGACTGCAGGGGGAGGGGGTTCTTTCTAGACAGTGACCTGGGCCCCAAGGAGGACGTTCCTCACCGTGAGAGCTGACATTTTTATATCACAACAAACAATGTAGCTGTCATTCAACCCACTGATAATCTTTTCTTCCAAAAAAATGTAATGTGCTTGGAGTTTTAGACCTGAAATTGTACTTCATGTTGGCAAGTGAGTGCTTCCTGAAAACCAGCTTCAAGAAAAGCAAGTTAGAGCTTTGTTTAAGGCTCTTTGCTCCTCCCAGCTGATAACAAGTGTCCTGGGTGAACTTACTGGGTCTTTCATTGTGAAATCCATTTGCTCTGTGAAGGGGCTTGGAGGCGCGAGCACAAGGTCCTTGAAATGTTTCTCACAGCAGACCCTCTAGGAACCTGGATCGCCTGGCCCGTGCCACCAGCCTGTGTGACCGTGAGCAGAGTCCTGGGGGACCCCCCAACATCCCCGCCGTCATGCTGGAGTAGAAGGACCCACTGGTGGTCTGCATCTGAGCTGGGCTCAGGCTCACCCAGGGTCGTAGAGGAGCCGGGAGCTGACCATCAGACCTGACCCGAGGCCTGACTCCACCGTGTGGCCTCCCAGGCCTTTCTCTCCTCATCTGAAGACGGGAGCAGCATTATGACACTGCCCAGGGTGACTGGAGACTTAAGCTGATGACACCTTTACAATGTCTCCATGTAAGAGGCACTCAACACACGCAGGGGTCCACCAACCTCTCCCACCTTAGGCCACCTGTCCTGCTTTTTACTGGGGAAAATAAAGACATTGGGGTGCCTCCTGTCACTGAACAGCCCGGAGTGGGCTCTACAGGTCCCAGGTACTGCTGGGCCTCTGGGCTGGGGAAGGGTGGTGGCCTGGGCTCTGCCCTGGGCCCTGAGGAGCAGGAGGGCGGAGGCTGCAGGAAGGGGGGAGGGTTGTGTGGGAGCCGCATGCATGGGAAGCAGGGTTTATTCCTTGAGAGAGCGGGCTTCTGGCTGGAAGGAGGGTCCAGCAAGGATTCACGGTGGGCCCCCTGCTCTAAAATAATTTCCTAAGAGTAGGCGGGATCTTGATTCACAACCTTCGCTTTGTGTTTGAAAACATTCCTGGGAGGCTGAATCCAAGCCACCCATTTCTGTGCACCAGGCCCTGGGAGACAGCTTGAGTCACCTGCTCCCATGGGTCTGAGTGGAGGGGACTGGGTCAGGAGACAGGGAAGGGTGTTAGAAGGGAGGGACAAGGGCAGAAGTGGGAGAAAGAAGACAGACGTGCTGGCCTGGGACACACTTCTGCCCACATGACCCTCCTCTTAGCCCTGCCGTCGTGAGCACTTCCTGACCCCTCCCGTGTGCCAGGCACTGTGCCGATGCCCTCAGACCTCACATCCTCCTGACTCCAAGCGTGATGCCGGTGCTTCCCAGGGCCACCAGGATCCTTTAAAGGGGACCCTCTGGGAAAAGGCCACATTAACCCTAAATCCCACAACACTGTGGAGAGCGTGGCCCGGCAAGGGCAGGTTGTCAGCGGGCCCTGGCCCTGGACTTGCCTGTGGCCGTTTTTCACAAATCCTCTGTGGCTGCCTGTGAGGCTTCCAGGGGACACAGGTGGAGACAAGGAAAGGGTCCCGCACAAGGGAGAGCGTGGGCTCCCCTTTGCCTCGCACCACTCCTGGCACCTGGGCTCCTGGCCTCACCTCTTCGTGCCAATCCTCACCTGGGTCCTGTCTCCTCCCCTCGGAAGGCCCCTCCTCTCGCCAGGCGCCCAGCACATACATGGTGGGCACACGGGAGCCCTGGCAGTGCTGGCCACACCTCCAGCACCCCACCCGCTGAGGGCTCTAATCAGAGGCCATACATTCCACAGACCCACAGACCGTGGGACTCCTGCTTTGGGGTCAAGGTCAAACAAAATCAGGCAAAATGACCTCTTGGCTCCTGCCAGCTTTAGGGCTCTAGGAGCCTTAGTGACTTCTTAGTTAATTATTTCTTAATTAATAACAAACCAACACTGCAGCAGTAGGCAAGCTAATGAAATAAATGAGGCTAATCTGTTAACTACACCCATGTAGCACATGATCGGGATGGGAGAGCCGCGGACGCCTACTGGATAGTCCCACCGCGTTTTCACGATCAGGGGTAGGGGACAGACATGATGCTCCTGGGCTTCAACCGTGCTCTCTCTCGGGGCCCGCAGGCCCAGGACTCGGCTTCCTCAAGTCCTTTCCTCGCCACCGCTCTCAGTCTGGGGGCTTGTTAGTGCCCCAAACACAACAGTTTTACCCCCGTTGTCGCTTTCCGTGAGCTCAGAATAGAGGACGCCATCTGTCGCCTTTGGGGTGTCATATGTCCACTGCTGACTTGCAAACAGGTTTCCCACCAAGAGGCGCTGGGAGGAAGGCAGGAGGGACTCAGTGGGCCTCCCAAAGCCCTGAGCCTGGAGACAATTAGCAGCCCCGGGCGGGAATCCTCAGCAGCCGCCGCTTCTCCGCAGGCAGGGAGCCCGGGCCTCTCTCCAGCCCCGAAGGGCTTGCTCTTCTCCGGGGGGACAGGGTGGCCCTCAGGACAGAGCGCGTCTGCACTGGGAGAGCTTGCCTGGGCAGGGCGGGGCGTTGCCCTCCGCCAGTGGGGCAGCCGGGGCGGCTTCCTGGGGTGTGTCACTGTGAGGGGGCCGGGCCCCCGACCTGCCACTCTGGCCACACCCCAGGCGCTTTTCGTCCAGCAGGGACAGGTGGTATTCACACAGGTCGATCAGCGAGGCCACCTGCTCGTGGAGGGGCAGCATCTTGAACTTCCTCTGAGCCAGGTAGAAGAAAGCCTCGACGAAGGCCTGCAGGCACATCCCTGCGGGCGAAGAGACCGGCGTTAGGGGGTGCGCGGCAGCTGGCCGGCCCGCTGCCCTGGGCAGGCCTGACTCCAATCCCTAGGCGCTTTCCCACCATGGTTTCCATTCTGGAAACGAAACTGGGCCCGCTCACGGTCCCGCCCACCATGCGCCCTGCTGGGCACATGCAACCGCTGGCAGATTCGATCCCTTAAGCAACCCTATGCAGAAGGTTTAATTAGGGTGTCACAGAAGTGGGGAGGCCTGGGCAAAGTCCTATGGGTAGAAACTCGTGGAGCCGGGATTTAAGCCTAGTCCAAAGCCATAGCCCTCTGTACCACGTTCCCATTAAAAGGCAGCCCTGACTTTGATACTGGGGGAGACAGTGTTTAAGGTAAGCCCAATCGGATGGCCTGGCCATGTTCCACATCTGGGTAGAGGCGTTGGCTTTGTGGGTGTGCGTATTTGTCAAAAACCATCAAATTGGACCTTAAGATGTGTGCATTTGGCTATATGTAAATTTTACCTCAAAAGGTAAAATACACCTCACCCCTTCTCTCTACCTATGTTCTGGAACGAACTAATAGTATTCCCCTCTGTGCCCCTGGATGTTCTTTCCTCACGTTGCCTCATTCTTGGGATCTGGGCTCAAAGTCACTTGCCCAGTAAGACCTTCCCAGCTCCCAGCTTAGATGGGGCCCGGCACAGCTTCCTGCACTCTCCGGTGTAGCGCACACTGCAGCTCGGTCAGTGCTCGTCTGTGTGGTTCTCTGACACTCGGCCTTCCCTGCTGGGTTATAAGCTCCAGCTCACCACTGTACCCCACTGCCAGGCACCCAAAGGTGCTCAGAATTGACATGCTGAACAATGAGTGAGTGAATAATTGAATAAGTTGGTTCTAGGCACTTTATAGACATTATCACTAATCCTCACAACACCTTTTCGAGATCAGTATTATTATGCCCTGCTTTACAGATGAGGAAACTAACTCAGAGAGGTTGAGTAACTTCCCTAAGGTCACACAGCGGAGAACAGTGGCCTGGGAATTCAAATTCTGACTCCCAATTCATTTAACTAAGTTGTGCTGCATGAAGGGTCCTGAGTCTTCCCAAGGTCCAAGTAAAAATGAATGCTGTGACCCAGATTCATGGGATTTCTGGGCTCCTTGGGGAAGGTGACACAAGGCTGGACCGAAGGCCACCCGGCGTTTTAGATGAGGCTGGCTCTGTCTGCTAGCCCACACCCTCCCAGTGGCCTTGCCTCCCTGCTCCAAGGCATTATTCACCAGCTTCTGTCACCGCAGGTAGAAGCCAGGCCTGGAGTTTGTAAATACTGGATTATATGTGGGCCCTGGGATCCGAGAGCTCTCTGTGCCTTGGGAAATTGAACTGAGCAAAGCTGTTTTGTCTCTTTCCAAGTCCATCATAGCTTTTTTGCTCAGCTTCTCTTGACTCCAGATGCTCTGCTAGTCCCCTGCTGTTTGGTCTTGAGAGGAGGAGTTGAAAACGAGAACAGTAACCCTGGTGTAAACCCCTTTAATGTAAACGGAGGCCTGGTGGGACAGAGAGGCCGGGAAACGGGGCATCTGTCTGAATCGAGAGGCAGACGTTTCCTAATCACCGACTCTGGGGCCAGGGCTCTCCTGGGGTATGTGTGCATGCGCCGTGTGTGCATACCTGTGTGTGTGCATGCCTGCATGTGTGTGTCACTGTAGGTGGGAGGGTCAGACACACGCAGAGTGGAAGAGGTCAGGATCTAAAGCCAGAGAAACCCAGGGAGGTCCCAGCCCCCAGCCTCCCAGCTTGTGATCTAAACAGCGCTACCCAAAGTGTGGTGTGCAGCCTGGTGCCAAGTCCAGGAACTGCACGTCTCTGGTCCCTAACAAGATAAGGAGCTCGGGCCAGAATGTAAATCACCGTCCTCATCAATCACATTGTTGCGTTCAGCTGGCAGCATTTTGTGGCAAGTCTGTCTCAACAAAGGAAGCAGCACGGGTTTGCATTCTGGCTCAGGCCTCTGGCCCAGGACTATAAGGAACAGTTCGTGAATTGCAACTTTGAGTAGCTCGGGACCACACAACCCTTCCCAGCTTTAACGTGCATGCTGGTCATCTCGATCTTGTCAAAATGCAGATTCTGAGGTGGTGCCGAGACCCTGCATTCCTGACAGGTTTCCCGTGATGCCCAGGCTGCCCATCCTTGGAGCACACTCTGAGCAGCAAGGACTGAGGGCACCTTTTACTCAACAAATATTTCTTTCCTTCCCTTAATTGAAGGCAGACAGCGATTAGAGCTATAATGCACAGAAAATATACACTGAGGACCTTTTCTGGAAAAAAAATGCAAGGCTAAATGATCTGGAAGAAGCCATTCTAAAATGAGAAGAGGGATTTAATGTTACACTTGGTTTGCTTGTCTACGTTTTCTGACTTTCTGTAGTAAACACGTATGTGATTTAAAAATATGCGATGGAAAATTCTAGAGGGTGGAAAGGGGCAATGCAAGGGCAGCTCCTTTTAATTATGAACCTTTGCTACCATTGAAATTTGAAGTTGTACACATGTTACTTTGAAAAATTACAATGTAAGCTTTCTGCATATATGTTCTACTTTGATATATATTAACTAATGTATATGTGGAAGACAAAAGATGAAGTAGATTGGAATGGACATCACTGACTCTCGTGTGAGTTAGATATGCTATCCCAGGTGCTCTGATCCTCGCTACAACTCCCATTGTGCAGATGAGAAAGCTGAGGCCCAGAGAGATGAACTAACTTGCCCTTAGGTCACTCATGCCCTGCTGATTTAGCACCTCATTCCTGAAAAGCCCTCCTAAGCATCCCTACCAAGGACACTCTGCGGGTAAGACCACAGCGGTGGAGGGCAGACAGGCTTCCACAGATACATGTGGAGCCTGCAGGAAACAGCAAAGTCAACGACTGGGGAGTCTGGGAGGGGTTAAGGGAATCGGCGAAGGCTTACGGGAAAGGGGGCATTTGAGTTGGGCCTTGAAGAACTGGCAGGGGTTTGGATGGGCAGGGACGAGCTGGGGGTTGTAGGCTGGGCTGGGAACAGGGAGGTGGTGGAGTCAAGAAGCAGGAGCATGGTCTGGGAGGAGCCCGGTGCTGCCGAGCTCTGCTGTGGGCAATCACGAACCTTCGGGGATGCGCAGAACAAGCTCTCTTCTCTGGAACCCAGGGCCCGCCCCTCCCCACCATCGTCATCTGCTCCGGCTGCCAAAACAAATGCCACAGCCTGAGTGGCTTAAGCAGCACAGATTTATTTTCTCACAGGTCTGGAGGCTGGAAGTCGGGGGTCCAGGTGCCAGCGGAGTTTAGCTCTGGTGAGATTTCTCTTCCTGACTTGCGGTCAGTGCCATCTCGCGGTGTCCTCGCACAGCAGAGAGGGTGAGCCAGCCCTCTGGTGTCTCTTCTTATATGGACACCAGTCCCATTGGATCAGGGCCCCACCCTTATGACCTCATTTAACCTTGATTACTTCCTTAGAGGCCCTGTCTCCAAATACAGTCACATCAGGGTTAGGGTTTCAACATACGGGTTGAGCAGGGACACAGTCCAGTCCACAGTACCCCGCCAGGCAGCCAGCACCTGGGGACACTCTCCTACCACAAACCATGTCCCTGAGACTGCCTGAGCCATTCAGGAGAAATATAAGAAATCCTACTCCCCTTCCCCGCTCCCCGGAAAAACCCCTCGCAGCTCAGATTAGAGTGAAAAAGCACCACTTTGGTAACATCGCTTTAGTGACCTGTTAGCAGTAAAAGTAATGAAAAGAAACAAATAATATTTACTGAGCCTTCATTAAGTGCAAGGCCCTGGGCTGAGTGTGGTTATTTAACTTAATTCCACAGAAACTGATGCAGGTAGGTGTGACCATCAAACCCATTTCCCATTAGACGCGCCACAGTCACCCACAGCTGATAGGCGGCTGACCCCAAGGACCATTCTCGCAACTTCTCCGCTCCCCTGTGGCAGCCCCGGAGGAGTGTTAATTCGGTGCTGAGAAGGAAGAACCGCCGCCCTGCAGCGCAGGAGGGACGGCCCCGTCCATCTCTGTGGACTGTCAGCAACGGGGTGCAGCCAGCCCCGCGGTCTCTGCACGTGGCTGTCCCCACCTGCCTCCCCTGCCCGAAGATAAGCTATTGAGTATCTTTTGAAACTCCATTTGGGCTGACGGATGTCGCTGGAGAAAGCAGCCTTTGAAATGTTCCAGCTGTAGCCACATGCACGTCTCTCACCCGAGACGGCCACTTGGATGGGGGGTGCGGCCCCTGACAGACGATGGCCTCATTCTGTCAGTCAGCTGGGCGAGGGCGGGCCCACAGGCCCCTTCTGGCTCCACTCCCAGGGAGGGGGCCCTGCACGCTCGGCTGAGTGAAAGCCCCGGTGGCTGCTCCCCGATAATCCTATCATCTATTCGGGGGTTTACGCGTGGGAACAAGAATAATACCTGCGTGTGCACAGCGCTTGCCAATTTATAAAGAATATCCGTTTCCTATCTGGTTCTCAGAGCAATGTTCGGAAGAAGTTACTGGAAGTGTTCCCCATTACAGCTGAGGAGCACAGACCCGGGGAGGTCAGGGGCCTGTGAGGGCCCCGGGTGGGCGAAGCGGCGCTGAAGCCCACGCCCGTCTCACGCCCAGACCCACGACTCTTTCCCTCTCTCAGGCTCTTCCTCAGCACCCGACGTTCATGTATCCCCTGAGCCTACGGAGCACACTCCGTATGTGATCAATTAAATCATCGTGGGCCCCGGGTACTGCCCCGGGCTGAATGGGAGACGCTTCTTTTCCCCGGAACACGCCCGGGCTGCCTGCTAGCGCTTCCCGCCAAGGCCCTGGCGCGCGGGGCCGCGCTTCCCAGCCCCTCTCCCCCAGCCCTTAAATCTCTCTCTTATTACTCACTCAGAAGGGATGTGCTGTCTCAGTGCCATCCTCAACGAGGAACTCTACAGCCTCCTGTTTGGAATCGTCAGGAGGAAATAAAGCTGAACGATCTT